ACTGCATCAGTAGTAGTCGCGAAGCACGTAAGCTAGTTGTTGTTCTCTACTTCGACATATCTAGAGCATTTGACATGGTATCTCACAGGAGCGACTTTATTGCATATCCCCTCAATGACGTTTGTCTGTATGTTGCTATTGGTTTCAAGTGGCCTTGGTTTCGGGGCGAGATTTAACTGATATAATATTGTGATTTCATAGATATATCTCAGGCTCATACGTGAAAGAAAGTTATTATCTTGTAATAAGGAAAAGTTGTTCAGAAGGTAAGGAGGACGTTATTTTTCAGTTTATTTGTGTATATACTATTGTGCACCGAGTTGCATTGAGTTCTTAGTGCAACTGTATGTAACTGCATTTACATAAAATGAAACATTAGGAATGCTCCTGTTTCCAGAAGAAAAACATTATTATCATTAAGTTTAGTAATGGAGAATGGAAATTCTTCAACGTCAATGTTATTTAATTGAAGTTGTAATCTGTGTAGGCGCTCGGAGGAATTAATTCGGCATGGAAATCTCCTATGTAAACCGAAAGTGCTTTTAGTTTAGTAAATCTTACTGACTTCCTGTATAAATTAGATATTTTTCAAGTGTATATTTCAAATCTGCTGGAGTATTCAGTAAAGTAAAAGTTGTGGTGCATGATTCCAAGACTTGTTGTAGTCATTGGTATTGTCAGGATACCACTTACTCGTTTTATGCAGCCGAAATATACAAATCTCGCTTTATTGAGGAAACACTATAATGCCTGCAAAAGTATTGCGTCAGTTAATGAGTTTCTAAAGTCATTTATAGACTATCCTACTGATATATGTGTGATTGCATTGAAATGATACAAGGATGACAGTTTAAGAATTCAGCCTTGTGTTACATGCCAATCGGAAATGTGTTTTCTCGGATAATTCGCAAACAGTAATCACTGTATAGAAAACATTCTGTAGAATTTATGAGACTTATCATCATCATCAACTTACAGTTTACTGATGATACTGTACACATAGACTATGAGAAGTTACCCCTGATACTGGAAAATATGAAAAGAATACCAATGTTTGATTATAGGTGTCTGTGTTCTATCTGATTATTAAAGCAGTATAATATGGCGATTGCTCTTGAGGTTACGCATAAAGTGTTAGGTGAGGAGGGTAAGTTAGTCTTCAAGGTAGGGAAGCTGAATAGGTTGAGATAGCTATAACACGTGATGGCATACCAAGCCATCGCCTTGCTCGAGGGATAATGTTAGCCAGCACATGTTAAGGTTCAAAATGTGTTTGGGTCGGTTGAATGAAAAGCTGCTATTGGTTCATAAAATCGTTGACAGTCACCTGGAAGAACTACTAGATATATGTCTGCAAGTCTTTGTTTATGGCACAGATGCATTCACTCTGTGTAATCTCAGGTATCTATTCAACTCATGTTGTCACTATTTATTTTCCCTCAAATTTTCGCTCGTTAAACTTCCATTTAGTTTTATGTCTCTACCTTTGTGTGGTGCATGGAATGTGGTAAACTGAACAGTTGGACTTCTTTGCAAAGTCATACTGAAAGTCAGGCAGAATGACACAGGCTAGGCATAACTAAATGCGAAACACTGAATAATGGTCTCCAGAACGTCAACAAATGATAATTGCAGTTCTTAATCTTGTTCTTTGCTAAATTACTCGGAACTGAAAATGGTACGAACTACTCCACTAGATGTAATACCCTAGGACTAGAAACACTATGGCCTGAGACTAAACTTAACACTTTACTATCGGCTTCTAAACCACTTAGTTTTTACCTCTACTAATGACACTCGACTTTCAGTTGACAATGGCTACAAACTAAGACACACTAAGGATACAGTAGCTATCGAACAATGCAAAACAGCTACCAGGCAAAAGTTTTACTTGATTAAGTATGCACAGATATGGAATAAACTACCAATGGAAATGCGTCAAGCAAGTACATTGGCCTCCTTCAAAAAGGTGCTTAATGACAAACTACAAGAGTTTGCAAACGATAGTAGTTCTAGTTCCTATCTGAGAGCCTCCGAAATTATAGGTCCACTTAACGCATAAGCTTAAATACTGCACCTGTTGTTTTTTGCCTATATTTATAATTCTAGATAAAACATTAACGGTTAACATACGTATCCTCAAACAGACAAGAAATCTCGTTTGTAAAACTACTACCCAACACAACAAGTGGAATAAAATGGACATAAACCGACAACATGAAAAAGGTATAACTCACCACAACATCACATGGACAGATGTACGCTTGTTGGGCACCACATATACCTCAACAACTACAACCCACCTTTCCTAAGATAATGTGATGAACTTATATCCATAATGTTGCTGAGCAGTTAATATTCTCAACTCCTGTCGGAACAGCTGAAATTCATAAACCTTCCTCACGCTAAGAAAATACCCACAAGCAGTAGAAATCCATTAATTAATGCGCCTGAAGCTTATGTATTTACTCCCAACAATGACATTGCAGATCATCACTGATTTCAAAATAACACATCAATGAACTATAATTCGAGGACTCTGCACACAACAAAGTTATGTATGAAAATTGACTTCAAGCTTTATTTTTTTCCCAGGCACTTATAATCCATCCACCAAAGACCTGGTTTGTTTTGTTAATGCGAAGACAATACTTCTGTATTTCCTGATGTGTTGCACTCACCGACAATCTAGCAGATTTCTCCAACTGTGCACAGAAATGATTGTGTACAAGTGAAAAGGCTGTTTTATACCACTGGGATTAACATTTACCAAGTGTATGTATAATCTCCAGCGAACATGTAAAGCATATCTTGCTACTGCCTGTAAATTGTGATTGAATTATATGGTTCTATTTCTGTAACGATTTGATGATACCTGTAAACTGGCGTCCCTCATGTACTGTACTATGAGAATAAATTTATTTATTTGGGTTCTGATGTTTTTCAAAAAGCAAGAGAACTGAAATGTGATACTATCCTGTCTAGGTATACTGCTGAAGTTTGGAGCACTTCCATTCACTTAGAATGCGGTTTTTAGAGCTTACTTGGAATCTGTTCCCTGAATATACTATTTTACGGGAGTATAGAAATTAATAATTACAATAGACATCCAATTGAGTGACACTGTCATATTGTTGATTATCAGTGAGGTTGTTAGTGTGACTCAGTTTGCTAGATGGAATCGTGTTGACGTTATTGTTCTCAAGCATTTTATTCAACTTTGCTTCCTTGAAGTTTTCATAGTTACTCTTTGACTAAGTATCTGGAAGAATTATACATAGGATGAATGCAGCTCTAGAGTGGTTCTACTCAGCTTGCAGGTTAGGCACAATTCACGGAATAAAATACTCACTTACATAATCCAAAGATAACAATTTTCACATTCATGTTGTCTCCAACTGCATAAACCAATTTACGTGCATGTGACGAAGCATATGCATCAGACGAACAGAAAGAAGGATTTGTGACCGCTTATTTTCAGAAACTGGCATGTGAAATGCATGAAATTCCCTGGAAGTCCAGCTGCTTGATTTGTTAGATAGCAGTCACGAAATTGTCACATTAAAATCCATTTAGATAATTCGAGTCCAAGGTTGGTTGAGGTTGCACGTATCAATGAAGCGATTGCCACTAAACGGTTAGAATCAAAATTATGCATCAATAAATAAACGGTTGTGAATTTTGCTTTACCTTGGTAGACATATCTTAGGTTACCCAAATGCTTTTTGTGAAAGTTTCAGTTGGTACTGTTGTTATTTAAGCTCTGTTTTTTCAGACAATATAATTACTCTAGTCGCATCTTAATCTATAATCCTGTCCAGGCCAGTTTTGATTTATATTCGGCCGAATTACTTGAACCATTCATAATCAAATTATTGACTTTGAACCTTTGTTCAATTTTTAACATACACATGTAACTGTGGGATGTTCTTTGATTATTTCCATAGACAGGAACTAGGTTGACAACAACTTTTATCCCATCACATAGTCCTGCATATTCATGTGGTGTGGTTTACCTTTCACCCTTCTGATTAATAACTAAAGCACCACAGTAATTTGACATTAAATTGTTCATGGTTGCATACAACTGAGAGGGTCCAACGAAGTATAATTACATCATCTGTCCTACCAAATGTATTCTACTTGCTCTGTCCAAAAACGATTTCCATGGTAAATTTTTTGACACCACGATAGACATAGTATTATCTCCATCCCCTGGGTTATTGATTTTGAATGTTTTGGAGCCTTTACCACTACTTTTTAACTTTAACCAGATCTACCATCCCTTCCTTTACCGCCTAATAATATTTCATATGACTAATACGCATGTGATTGGACTGCTAAAAATTCTTTACATCTCATAGTCTTTTCCAGGTTATCAGCATCCTACTGTGAAAATTTCCTGCAAGACTGCCATCGATTTTCAGTACAGTAGTGCATCAGGTGCCGACTGGGCAATGCACATTTTCAAAAGCTGCTCCGGCGTTATTACAGCTCATTGATTATATGCCAATTAATGCTCACGTATAGACACAATAATTTTTGATATGCCGGAGGCGGATCAGCGCCATGCCACGCTGTGAATGGGTGTTGTTACAAGTCTCTTTTTTTTCAGTTTATGGGGAAATGAACAGTATCTCAATAATTTTTACTCTTAGAATTCTAAAGTTCCTCAGACCCTGAAATCAGAGCATCTTGAAATCTGATTTGGATAACTGAACTGGTATGGAATATAATCAAGTGAAGTGATATTGGTGCCAGTTCTAGTATTTCCGCCATTCTTAGTTTAACTGCATGTTTCACCTCATGTTGTTATCAGGGCTACAATTTGCAATGGAACAAATCCACTTCATCGATAAACCTCAGAGTTATGTAATCACTAAATAACAATCAGGATTGGGCAGCGAAAAATCTTATAGTGTACATTCTCGATACAAAATTTCGGTTACTGAAGGTTACCCTCTCCAAAGTCACCGCGCGTTTCGAATGGAACGGTACTGGCGCGGCTTGCTGCTGTCTTGAGGTATTCAGTTACATATAATTGTTAGTGTACTGGTATCCAAACGGATTCGTTTTATTGGCTAGGCAACATGACTTCTGTTGTCAATCGTTTTGATCTTTTTACATGTCTGCTAAATGTTGAGAAATCTAGGGTTAATTTACATTTCCTTATCAGTAATTCCACAATTAACCCGACTTATTGAACCAAATGGTGGAATATGTTTTATCCTAGATGACAATTTTTTAGAACATTTTCAAGCTCAATAATTATTGTATATGAAATATAGGATTAAGGTTGAGTAAAATATGAGAAAGTGTGATGTGAAACCAATATGGAAAAGTGGGAAATACGGGTAAAGCGAGTAATATGTGTTACGTTCTAGCTATTATATGCCACCTTGAATAAGGGAAGTAGCCTCAATTGATTCAAATATTCTGGAGATGCATGTAATACTCTGCAGTCCTGTCTGATTTTAAGTCTAATTGCTTTCCTAAATATTCTCACAGACGTTGAGTCTGCTAAAGTAATTATAAGTCCAGTTCCGGCATTCTGAGTGATCTGCACCAACCTTCTTCATTTGTGGTTAAATTATAATCTTGAAAGCACCTATAAATTTTGCTGAAATTATTCTACCCAGTAGGGATCATTACAAACATAGCGCTTTTTTGAGGTCTATTGTGTATATCAAAATGACATATTCATTCTGATTAAGAGAATGAAATACCGAATCTAGTCACTTAGGTTTCATGGAAATATGACGCTTTCCCTATGTGTACAGCTTGATATAGAAGTGCAAACACGTGTTAATTGTATTATAGATATTGGCCACTACTAGTAACATCCACTCTCTTTAAACCTAACATGTAATTGTGGTTTAACTTAACAACCTGGTCTGTGAAAAGTAACTTAGGACAACGTGTATTTAACGTAGATGGCACTTGCATAGTGGTGGTATTGTAAGCTCTTCTAAATTTCTCTGGTATGTGTTTATTCGAAATTCTGTCTTGTAATGACTAAAATAATCTTTAAAGGTTTTCTTAATTATTGCTGAAATTTTAATAAGCATTATTGTGTAGTGTTCACCAAAGTTTTACTTTTCGCTTGTACACTTTACAGCTGATTCTTCAATGTCGACTAGTAATCCATTTCCTGTAGACCTTCAAATTTGTCGTTGTTTAAATCATGAGGTATTCAATGATTGCATTAATTATTTGTAAACATTTGTAAACAGACAACACGTTCATTCAACAAGTTACCGTATTACTTCAAACTGATTCAATATGAAATACTGAGGGAAGTTATGATGGACTTAACCTATGAATATGAACTGAATTTGTTAACAAGTCGTGAAAGGGATGCATATGAGATTCTTGCCGCAGTATGGTCTGAATGTCATCTTATTCAAGGCACGAAAAAGATCGATCTCGTCGACTCAGAAGAGATATGCAGAGATATGATTGTCAACGATATTGTACCACTTTTGAATAGAAACATAGAAAAAAAGTTAGACGACAGGTTGGCGTTGTTCGCAGATAATAATAATAGTAATAATAATGATAATAATCAAGGTTAGATACATCTTTTCATAACCCTTTACTTTCAGGTGTGTTGAAGTTTGATAGTTTACCTTCAATTGACGAGATCCAAGAGAAGAAAAGTCAGCTTTCTTTGAAACTTAGAAAATTGCAAGCGCGTTTTACAGAAGTACATAATTTTGAGCATCAATTATTGCATGACACTTATTTGTGTAGAGTTGTAAACTTGGACGCATAATTATTTAAATCATTCTTCGATTTATAGAGCGCCATTGCTTAAATACGATACTATAATATTATTGGAATTCTTTTCCAATAGCCTAAAAGCTGTTACTTTTCAAGATTATATATTTAATACCTAGGGCCAGGCGATATATGGATCAAATGTTGGCTGAGCAGTACTCGTCAGCTGTTTTCTCTTAGGGAATTACCACTAATAGTTGATCCTAAAATTAATGTCAATCACCCTTTCCATTTGGTTTCAAGTGTAGTGTCTAAAGTGTGGGTACTTTCAGCTACTGCGTCCATTTTATTATTAAGCTGACGCTATTGTTTAAGAAATTCATATAAGCATGACTAAATACTGTCTAGTTTCCATATAAAATCTCTGACAGTTTATTGGTATTCTTTCTGACCACCTAGTTAATCATAGATCGCATCACTCGCTGCCTGTAACATCCTAGCGATTGCGTTTTATTCTTCACTCACCACTTGATTATCTTCACCCACTTCAGCATTTTCGGCCGTTACTGCATATTATAAATTGGCACATTTGTCTTCAGTCCTGTACATTACTGTTTTTGATAGCTTGCTCTCTTCTTATGTGGTTACAGATTTAATTTTCAGTTTTGTTGTACAAAAGGCAAGATTTTAATAAGCAGTGGAGTTCTACATGTGAAATTTCCACACTTTCTGATCACTATCAATATATTATAAGAAATCGATTAGAGTTTGAATTCAGGTTTACTACCCCAATATCGAAACGCCAAAGTAGTTGGTTTTCAAATGAATGAACTTTCATAACATTGCCAACTCTTAGGATACTTCCAAGTTTGATTGACTGACTGACTGAGTTTCACTGTAGAACTCTGTACGGAAGTACAGCAGTTCAAGTTTCCACAATCCACATAGCCCACAAAGGTTAGGAAAAAGAGAAGAATTCAAAAAAAAACAACAACATCGTAATGGTCATAAATGAACGAAAGAAAGAATGATTACATAGAAAAACAAGTAGGTGTAATGAGTGTGGGAGACTACAAAGAATAAATCCAATGGTTCTTAGCGTTTCAAAAACCCTTTCAACTAAGCAGTCTACACCCCCCTATATGACTGGCTCAAGCCAACATTCATAAACTTCTTGGAGTAATTACAGGTTATGATAATCAAGTATTAGTTTGTAGCCATTTGACTGATTGGTTACAGGATTTCATCATGAGCTGACATCGGTTAGAAAACCATTGGAAAGCCTACAGGGAGTACTGAACAGCTGTTTTGTCACCCTGGTTTGGGACTCTTCAGCGGTTCGCACCCACCGCCAACTTTTGAACCCAGGACCGTGTAGCGGTAGGTTACAAGGCGAGCTAGCTCGTAGACCATCAAGCCATTGGAACCCGATCCAATGGCTAGTTCATGAATTCTAATTCATGACATAGAGCGACCGCTAGCGAATGTCATCATTGACGAGTATCTGTCGTCACACTCGACCAACTTCTGATTTGACTACTCCTAACGCTTATACAACCTAATCATATATCACCTAACACATCAATCATCGATGAAGCAGACGACTCGGCACGTGTGTCAATATTTGTTTTTTTGAAGTGACATTTTATTACTCAAAAGTATAATAAAACCACTGACTACTTTCGTACTGGTTAAAATTAATTTTGCACTTTACAGAATTGCATAAAGGTTAGCTATTGCTTTACCGAACAGTGATCTTTCTATATTCAACCGCATACACGTAGTAAATACTCCAAAAAAGAGTTCTTGTACTGCTTTATACTTAAATGTTAAAATTTCTGATATGTTTATATAAGTAACTTCATGCTTCAAAATGCTGTTAGTTTATACAATACAATATGATCTTAACTCTCCCGTTTATTATTATTACTATTACTATTATTGTTTACACATTTCTAGGCTGTTTGTAGAATATACACCTTATCCTCTCGCCTATTTCGAGAGTATCGCTTTGAATTGTATCCAATAGTAAGCCGTCAAGCACGCCTGGTTATAGATAAACAAATTCAAGCATTACTACTAAAAGCTAAAAATCTACAATATACCCTTCAAGATACCTCTTCTGGGTCATCAGCAAAATTGGATATTCTACAGAGAACTCAGTACGTCTGCTTTTTTTGTTTTGTTTTGTTTCTGTTAAAAAGAGAATCATCGTATCCATTTATTAAATTCATCGGTGTTTTTTATTTGAGATGGGAAAAACATTTTCTGTGTTATTTTCATTAGTGTAATTTACAAGTCTTTTGACTTTGTCTTACTTCAATATTCCATGTTATTTATTATTGTTATTGCTTTGGGTTACAAGTAGAACGTAAGGCTCTAACAGCACATCTGGTTCATATTAGTTTGTTTATTGGGTGTATCACAGTGTGGAACAGTATTATTTACTGGATGACAGTGTTTCGAACGAAATTTATTGTTCATAATCATATCAATTGTAATCACACGACTTTGACACTTGAATTTTATAGTTTTCTTTGTCTTCTGCTATTTGTTGTATGGGTAGTAAAATTTTCCAGGTATCTGCGAGAGGTGTTGAATCGTTCCTATTACACGTATTTGCAGCTGATTCGATAAACAAGGCTTCTGTTATCAATCTCTCCCTCCACCCTGTTACATTAGATTTTAAAACTGTCATCTCATCGCATTCTATTGTATGGTTGTGTGTAATTGCATGTAGTGAGTGCTATAGTTGAACTATTCTCTAGATTTCTTATCACGGCTTTCCACTAGAACCCCAGGTCACTGCCTGAATGGGGCCGGTCGCTAGTGAGCATCAGATCATTTTTTTCAAGTCTTGGTTTTTGTAGGGATTTGGTTTGATTCGTTGGAGGATTTCATCATGAGCTGACATCAGTTAGATTGTTGGATTTTCGTCAAGAACCAACGGTAGTTAGAGAGATCACTGAAAATCAACTGGAAGCACTGGATAGTTGTTTTGTCCTATTGTGGAACTCTTCAACAATGCGACCCCACGAACCCATTTGGAGATCGAATCCAGGACGCCTTAGGTTATGTGACTTATTTCGCTAACCATTCAGTCACTTGCGTTGGGATTCTAACTTTTATAATTACCTTGGGACAACAGAAGGCAAGACATGGAAGCCAAAGTATACTTTTCATTAATCAAACCGCTGTTTATATGTCTACACTTTATATTCGCTGATTTCGGTATACATCAAACGACAAGAAATAGAATGTTCAAATAGACATATTGTACGCAGTATTGAACTGTGGGAATAACATTCCGTTGTCTGTCCGTTGTCACACCTTGTCTGTATCACACCACCACAATCTTAAGCAGATTTCAACACTGCCATTATTTTTGAAAGAGAAACATAAACGGCATCGTAACTTGCTGTAATATAATGTTCATCTTATATTATGAATGTAAAAAGAAGACTTTATTATTTTTAATCTGAATATAAAGTGACAACATGATTAGTACTGTGGTGAGAGCTGTCTACTAGCCAATTGGTTGACAGTAATTGAGGTCAATGTTTATGTATCAAATATTAGTCATGTTGTGGTGAGAGATGGTTGCTAGCCAAATTGGTTGGCAGTAATTGAGGTCAAAGTCAAGATGGACAGGCGGATACAGTTAACATATAGATGAACTGACACAGCCACAAGAGATGCAAGGTTAGCTCTGTGTGAGAAACAACCAATCAACAGACTGTATTTTCTACTAACATTAACCTACAATAATGTACATCAAAATCTATAAATACGTGTTGATTTTCCGTAATAAACGTTCTGTTGCCTGGCCCTTGTCTTCTGTTGTTATAGTACGACTGTTGTGTCTATAATATGTTCAACAGTATCGAATGTAGGAGTCTTGAGTGTAAGAATAGCTTTACTGGGTGGGGGGTGGTGTGTGGAATTCTCTCAACTACTTACACCGTAGAAATTGATGTCTTCCTATTGTACTTGAAATAAAAAGTGTGGATTAATTTTATATCACTACAATGCTCCAAAGACTGTTGCTTGATGTAGGTTACACATACTATTAGAAGTTTCGTTTTTAAAAATCAAAGCTATTATTTGATTGTGTATAAACCTCAGTAACCTAAGTTGGGTTGTACAACTTATAATTTCTGTGTAGTCTGTACTGTCATTTTTATAGTGTAAAGCCAACATACTTGGCTTCTTGACAGTTTGAAAGAAGCACTCTACTGCCTCCATAGTCCGTTTCATCAGCACTATACGACTCTGAGATCAGATTACCGTGGTCATGGCGTAATCACCTTACGCTTTAAAACTTACTGCTACCAACCTTATTATTATTGTTATTTCAAGTTTTGACCATTGATTGATATCAGTTAGAGAACCATTGAAGAATTAGAGACTACTGGACAGCTGTTTCGTCCAAGTTTGAGATTCTTCATCAATACGTACCACTCACTGACTGGGGTTCAAACCCAGTGTGTTCAGCCATTGGGACGGAATCCAATGACCCTAGCACCCCCCCCAATGAATTCTAACTTCTGTAAATTCATGATTTAAGCGCCACGGCCAGTGAATGTCACCGGCGTGTGTATTTGTCTTCACATCCAACATGATTGACCCTACTGGTCGTGAGAAGTCGTGATGGCTGGCTAATGATCTCTCTGAAATCACGGATTGGTAGAAGTTGAATTGTACATTGGCCATTGGATTGAGCCCCAGTGGCTGAATGATCGGTGAGCTTGTCTCGTGACTAAAAGTTCCTGGGTTCGAACCCGGGTGGGTGTGTTTTCCTGAAGAGTCTTGAACTAGGACGAAACAACCGTCCAGTATTTCCTGGTGGTTTTACAATGGTCCCCTGAAATCAAATCCCTACAAACTAACTCTTGAATTTTATTATTATTATTGTTAATTTTAGCCAAGAATTAGAAGATTCACGTCGTAAATTGAAACAAGAAGTGGAAGAGTTGACTCGATTGGATAAAGCTTACGCAAGTAAAGATGAAGCCTATCATGAATTAGTGAGACAGTATATTGCCTGTAAACAACAATTATCTTTACGATCTAAGTTACTACGAGATACTGATGCTGTTACTACTACCTCGAATAATTGTACTCGATCTGGTCACAAATCATATTATAGTAATAAACATTCATACCGTCGATCGTTGAGTGCTGATGGAAATTTGAATAATAGATAAATTGTAAATACTATTTTTGGTATATGTATATGGCCTATTGTTTGTATATAGTTAACTGTTTTTTTTTTAATTCCTAAGAGGAAATATCATGTTTTCTACTGTGTACTTTCTGTTTTTATTTTAATTTTCTTTGTTTGACTGAGTGATTGACTGTCTGTCTGTCTGTCTGTTTTCGATATAGAACTTTGCACATATGTGCGGCAGTTCAAGTCGCCACACTCCCTGTGATTAACACACAAAGCAAGAGAAGAAAGTAGAAGGAATGCATAATAGAGACAGTAAACAGAGGTGTGAGACAAAGGAATAGTAATAACGAAGAACAAAACAGTTTCATTGGAAATCATGAGTCACAAGGAGTGGATGCATCTGCAACAGCCATTGAGAACGATTTTGAGCCATATCACCAATTGTTTCCAACCATTGGTTTTTACTGTCCCGAGGACCCCAACTATTTAGGAAGTCTACACCTTCCTACGTGGCTTAGACTAACTGTTGTAGATTTCATTGACTAGTGCCATGTTTTGGTTTGACCGCCGCCAGCTCTTTTCCAGCCTGACCCTATACCAGCTAATATTGCCCGTCGAGGAAGGCGATGACTAGATGTGCATAAGTAACACATGTCCTAACCATCTCAGTCGATGTAATTTCACAGTCTCGTCGACTGATTTCCCCACCTTACCTAGCACTCGAGGCCTAACCTCAATATTGCTCACCTTATTATACCACTTCACGCGGGAGATAGAACGCAGACACCTATGATCGAAGACAGCTAATCTTTTCATGTCTTCCACTCTCAATGGCCATGTCTCACTCACAGCCATAAAGGAGGACGGAGCGGACTGTTGAGCAGTACACACGTCCTTTGGTCGCTAGTCGGATATCGCGTCTACGCCAGAGACGGCGTAAACTGGCATATGCGAAACAAGCCCTCTGTATCCATGCTGAAATTTCGTCAGAGATCAACCCACTGGCGTTGGCTGATGGTACTTCCCAAATAAGTGAAGCGGTCAACGTGCTCTACCACTTCACTTCCTATTTCTAATCTAGGAGTCGGTGTAGTCCAATCCTGTAACATCATCTTGCATTTGGCGGGAGCGAATCGCATGCCAAACATTCGTAGATTGCAGCTCAGGGTGTTCAGAAGACTCTGCATGTTTTTAGCGTCCTCGCCTAGAAGGACTATATCGTCTGCATATTCTAAGTCAACGAAATTATTCCCTGGTAGCAAGTCAGAGTGATTGACTGGTTTCAACTCTGCACAGAAGTGCAGTTGCTCGAGTTGCCGCACCCCATGTCACACACACAGGAAGATAAATAAGAGAAAAAGTAGAGACTCGAAAGAACCATCATAAACAGAAATTCGGTGTGGAAAGAGGAAAGTAATGTGGAGAAAAAAAGTGACAGTTTTGGTGAATATGTGAGGTCAGGTCACCAAGAGTGTCATAGTGTCATTCAAAACGATTTTGAGCCATATCACCGATTGTCTCCAATCATTGGTTGTTATCATCTCGAGAACGCTAACCGGCCGGCCAAGCAGTCTAGCTCAAACTAACTGTCTTAGATTTTGAAATAATAGAGAAGATTTGTAGCTCAGGTGAATGATTTGCAATTAATAGTGTTCTCTGAGCTGGTTGGTTTAGTTGCGGAGCTTTCGTCGTCCCCCTGCTGGACAACATCTTCAGCGCAATATTTAGCATAAAGTGAAGTCATTAAAATTTCTTCATGAGTGATAGAATTGCGTCCCCCGTTAACCATCTTTACATAAGTGTATTGATCATTTTCTATTGACTTGGATTTTAAACTTTCTGGTCACATGTAATTTACTTTTTATTGGTTGGTATATTTGTGGTCTATATGTTAACGTGTTTGTTAATTGCATATTCGTTTGAGTACTAGGCTTCTAGGAATTCCCTGGCACTTTTGGTGTTTCCTTTGTCTAAGATTTCGACATCCCAATCATCAAATTGATGTCCATAATTGTCTATATGCATTGATGTGAAAGAATATATATCATGTCTTTTCACGGCTGATTGGTTTTCTTGGATTCTAATTCGAAGGGGACGCCCACTTTGGCCGATGTAATAATGCATGTTACAGTTCATACAATTTATTTTGTAAATGGTATTAATTTTATCTCCTTTTTCAGTTGGATCTTTCAGTTTGCACAATATTGAATTAAGTGACTTGACTGGCTTGTGTGCTATATCTATATCAAACGGTTTCAGTATTGTAGCTGTTATTTCAGAGATATTTCTCATGTATGGTAGGATGAATTTTCTTGTGTTCTTTGATGATGGTTCTTTGTTGGTGTTTTGATTCGACTTTAAACACTTTTTGATGAAATTTTGTGGATAACCATTCTTTTTGAAGACCGTTTGGAGATATTTTCTTTCCATTCTTTTCAACTTTGGAGTGCTACAGTGTGTTTGAATTCTTTTAAACAATGTCTGCACACAGTTTCTTTTTTGATTAATTGGATTATTGCTAGTATAGTTGAGTATTTGTTCTGTGTGCGTTGATTTTCTGTATACTTGTGTTTCTAAATTTCCTGTGTTGGTTCTCTTGATTAAGACATCTAAAAATGAGATTTTGTTATCTAATTCTTCTTCTCTTGTGAATTTGATGTCTTCAAATATGTTGTTTATTAATTTATGGGTATATTCTAAGTCATTTCTCTTAATTATTACAAATGTATCATCAACGTAACGTACCTGTCCAGACTTTTGGTTTAATTATAGGTAGAGCTATTAATTCTAATCTTTTGCATGACGGCTTCAGCTATTCATTCTGATATGGGCGATGATCCCATTGGTGTTCCTTTTATCTGTTCATATATTTGATTATTGAATTGGAAGTATGTTGTAAGGCATAATTTTATGAGTTCTATCCAAGTTGAACATCACTGCGTTTATATGTTTTCATCACAACAGAGTAATTGTTGCATAGTTTCTGTTGCTAGTTTTGGACTAATTGAAGTATACACATTTCATCATAGGGAATAAAAAGATAGTTGCAGCGAAGAAAATTTTCTTTTCGACGAAGTCATCATCTAGGCTGTACCCCAATCGCACAATGTCAATTTTCTTAGTTATTATGCTACTTTGTTTTAGTTTTACCCATCCCCCTGTTTATTATGGCATTCTAATTCCTAATTGTAATTTTTATTAATTCAACCCCTAACCAGAAATTGTTCTGGAACTTTCCCATCCATTTAATATAAATACACGAATGTACAGCCTAGATGATGACTTCGTCGAAAAGAAAATTTTCTTCGCTGCAACTGTCTTTTTAATTGAAGTATATAATGGTGTGAATAAACCAACTAGCTCAGAGAACACTATTAATTGCAAATGTCTTAGATTCCATGTTTTGGTTTGACCGTCGCCAGTTAGATCTTTACGCTGGCTCAATAGACAATTATATTCTTCAAGGCAGTGTAATTATTAAAATGTGCTTATTGAACCAGTATTAATAAAAATGAATTCCTTGAATGAGATTCATATAAAGCAGAGTTTATAAAACTCTGCAATTGCATCTTGTATGATCAGCTTTTGTTGTTGTTGATGAATTTCGTGTCATTCGCTGTGGTTCATCAACACTTTATATCACTAAAACTTGAGATAATTGGAGGTGGCTTATTTGATAAATCGTTAGATTCTTACTTCTTTGATGGGAAGCCGTTCATTGTATGCATGTTGGGAAGTCCTCAGCTGCTTCACTTACTCTAGTTTGTGTTACTCATGGAGCTGTTCTATCTCCCTTCATGTTTTCCTGCTTCTTACACGACTTGCCCCATTCTGATGAAGCCAATTTTGTTAAGTATGCCGATGATGTGACTAAA